CCAAGGCCGCCCCGTCCAGGCGCGGACCGGCCCTGCCGCCGGCAACTTCGTCGCTGCCGGCGCGTGGCGATTCCCTCGCCAATAATTCCCGTTTCTTTATTTCTTTCTCCAATCTGTCCCCACGGCTGTTTGTGCCCCCGAAGGAGACGGCCGCCTGCGAGAGGGCGCGAAGCATCTGTCTGTAATTTTATGTTCAGTTGTCCCAAAATAGACACTTGTGTGTAGGGAGGAAATGGGTTGGGACAAGAGCGAGATCCTTTTGGTAATCCTCTAATAATGAAGTTTTCCGCCTGCAGAAGTGCTGTCCCTGTTCAGAAGGACAAGTGTCATCCCTTGACTTGTATCATAAGTGCGCAAAAGGTGTCATGTTTTGCTTGGGAAAAGCAGGTGGGGAATAGGAGGAGGTTTGAAATAATGAACGTGAACTTGAGGTTTGCTGATTTTGGTGTAAGGCCAGAATTAGCAGGCCAGGAGAAAGAAAATAGAGCCAGGGTTAGAAAATGCAGTTTTCCACTGAAATAAGCATGATAGGAATTTCATGAATGAGCTGTGTGATTTCAGACTTATGCTGTTAATCAGAGTTTTTAGTTTTGACACAAAAAGCAATACAAGGAAGTAAACCTTTATAATGATACAATAATGCAGAATATAAACCCGATTAGCTTCTCCCTCTGAGAAATCTGTGTCCTTCTGAGATGTGTCAGGAGTGAAAAAGAGGCATAGCTCCCGAATATTGTATTGCCTGTGCAGGGTAAGCCTGGGGGGAGCCCGTGGTGCAGCTTACCCAGCTGACTCGTGGCAGGGTTGCAGTTTGTCTATTCTACAACTGCCCATGCACGAGCGAAAGGTGGCGACACGGACTGCGCTGCTGCTCCTGTGCAGCCACGGCTGCAAGGGCCTCTTCCAGTCACTGCCCAAGCAGGAGGTGCCACTGGAAGCCAGGGGAAGTTTTGCGGAGATTCAGGTAGAAAACAGCAGCCCATTGTTGGTGAGGCTGGTTCCGTCTTGAAAACACTGGGGTGCATATGTGTTGGTTTTGGTTATGGACCTGTGTTTTCAAGGTGATGAACAAGTTTCTAAACACTAACTCTTTTTTACTCTCCCTTTCTCTCTGATTTAACTGACAAAGGCCAGGCACTGTGGCTCTCCGCGAAATCAGGCGTTACCAAAAGTCTACGGAGCTTTTGATCCGCAAGCTCCCCTTCCAGCGCCTGGTGCGTGAAATTGCTCAGGATTTCAAGACAGACCTGCGCTTCCAGAGCGCTGCCATCGGCGCGTTGCAGGTAAGCCTTGCTCCAAGCCAAAGCCACTGCAGCGCCCCGAGACCTTTGTCAGTGCCCCAGGACCTTCCTTGGTGCTTAAGCTTTACCTTTAGTAATAGGCTCTTTCCGCAGCCACGGTGCGTTAGGGAAGCAGCCCTGCGAGCAGCCTGTGCCCTGGGTAGCAGCCTGGAGCCTGTGTGGGTATTGCAAGCGGTGTCCAGAACCCCGTAACTGCAGCGGCGCAGCTGCCCTTCCCACAGATACACCAACATCTCCCCAAAAAACTCGGGAAAACCAGGGATTTCCTGCGAGCCGGGGAGGCAGCTGGGGGCGCCGCCCCCTGCTCCCATTGGGCAGCTTGTCTCTAGGCTTGGCCTAAGCGCTCTCTGATTGGTGGGCTGCTCCGGGGGGCGTGGCCCCACAGTAGGGTGGTTGCGGGAGCTCCTCGCTCCCCTCATCCCAGGCTCGAATGAAGCAGCAGCAGAAGCCGAAAACGTGGTTTTTAAGTTGGAAATGGCTCACCCGCTGCCCGGGCTGCTGCACCACACCGCACAGAGCGGAGCGATTGGGAGATCTGCGCCCACAGTGCCTGGGCTTTGGCACCAGCTCGGCCTTCTGGAAGCAAAGCAGCCTGAGCGCGAGGTGCTTGAGTCCCGCTTGTTCTGGTCTGTCCCAAGTTAAGATCTTGGCATACTCGAATGTTCTTTAGAGAAACAGCCTGAGAAGTCCCATGGAAGCATGGTTAGGAAATTAAATATTTTTTCCATAATGTAGTTACCTTAAAAAAAAAAAAAAAAGTGTAATGTAGAATATGTTGAGGTGAAGTATTGATTGCTGTCTTTCTGACCCAAACTACTTGCAGTATACCTTAAAATCCAGGATAACCTACTTGGAAAGTCATTTTAATAGGTATAAGATTATTTTTGTTTCTGCTATTCTGAAGACCAGTCTCTAATTATGTAGTTGCCATTCCCAAATAAAGTTCCCTCAAACTTGATCGTGTAGTAGACAAATTGCATCTAAGTTCGTTTTTTTTCCGAGACTGCAATCCTATAATAGGAATTATGTGCTACATTTACCTCTTATGATAGTACTGTGTGTTAAAAATAGGTCTCTGCTGCCCCCTTTTACTCATTAAAAGATTGCTCTAGCACCTGTATGTAGGCAGAGAATATTCGATATCCAGGCTAAACTTGTAATAAACTTGAATCTATGTATTGCTATGATAATGTGCGGAACATCTCGCTGTCAAGAACTGAATGTCTGAAAAGGAGACAGAGGAGTCCTAAAACTTTATTCGAATAAAGGGAGAGTCCACTGGGCATTTGAGAGACCAGGGTCTCTCAAATTGCTGGGGGACGCAGCCCCCCTTTTATCCTAATTTCCCGACCGAGGGATGCCCTCTCCTTTTCCCCATTGGCCAAGGTACTCAGATGTTACAGCCTTCCCCGGCCCGCCTACACCGAACTCCAGCCTCCCACCATCTGTTCTCACCTGAGCTCAGCAACTCCTTTGTCCCCCTTGCTGAAGAATGTGGGGCAATTGCCCTATTCCCCTCCTTTGTAAAGGCCCCCATCTCGTTGCAGATGGCTCTTTTTGTCCTTCTGGGCTCATGGCTCCACTCAGTCTCCCCTCCCTTTGTCCTGCTCTTCAGCCAAACTGTGGAGAAACCCCCTTATTGATGAATACA